TTATTTTTTGGCTGAAGAAAAAGAAGTCATGTCTAATGTTTCCTTCTGTTATTTTCAAATCAGGAAATATAGCTGTTATTGGAGGGTGCCGTGAATACACAGGAGCTCCATATTTTGCTGCAATTTCGGCCTTAAAAATTGTTAGCGCATGCATTCCTTTCATATCTAACATTTTGCCTTTTAACTAAATTCTTGATCTGAAAAAGAAAGAAAAACTTTTCTATCAATTCAAGTTATCCCATTATATTCCAATTCATGCAGGGTGCAGATCTGTCCCATGTTTTTTGTACAAAAGATGCTGCTCCTGTCATCAAAAGCTACAGTCCCGAGTTGATTGTGCACCCTGTTTTGGAAGAATCTTATAATGTCGGGTATAACATCCAGTCTTGTATAGTTAATGTTATATTATGCCCCCCTGTATGAACATTTCGAAACCAAGTGGGTTTTGTTTTTAGTGAGAGACTAATTTCAGGGAGGAAAACAAGAGATCCATAACAAGCAAGGTTCTTGCTGAAGTTGATAAGTGGATGGAAAGATTTAACTGCCTTGTTGTTGGTCCAGGCCTTGGAAGAGACCCATTTCTTCTGGTATGTTTTCTCCTGAATGCTTCATTGTGTACCTGTTTTATTACACACGGTGTTTACTTTTTCGAGTTTTATCTTAAATCCATAATTTTTCTTTCTAATTCTCAGTGAGGCATATGCATTTAGTCTTTCAGTGAGTTGTGTTTCTTCTGACTACGAGGTGCGATCCTATTTCAGGGCTTCGCTATCCCTATGCCATTCCCTCATAATTGTAACATGTTAACGTTAGGATGGTAAACCCCATCCATTTTATCATTAAACATGTTTGATGTATCTAGTTCATTCATGTAATGCTAATTTCAACTATGAATCATTCTATAAAAAACAAAACAAAACAACTATGATATAGTGACAGACAAAAAGCACTCATTTGGAAACAGGCCACTGGAGAATAACCCAAGGTTTTTTTTAATACATGTGAAACGTTCATTTGGCTTCAAATGTGGTAAGGCATAATTCTTGAAACTTAATGCTATTTGGTACGGAAGGTTTTCTCCTTAACTTGTGCTGTAGACAATATATTTTTCTTATTTAAGTTCTATGTATTGTTTTATATGCTTTCATGACATTCTTTCCGCCTCTGTCCACCATCTTTAATTCAACATTTGCTCAATATTGTCAGGATTGTGTGAGTGAACTCATGAGACATGCAAGACAGTCAAATATCCCAATAGTTATAGATGGGGTAGGTATATTGAGTTTTAGATATCTAGCACAAGGTTGAATAACATGTGAATCCTCTCATTTTTTTCACTTTTATGTTTGAACATTCTCATTAAATTTCTGGGTGTTGTTCAGGATGGTCTTTTTCTTGTTACAAATAATCTTGACCTTGTTCGTGGCTATCCCTTAGCTGTTCTAACACCAAATGTCAATGAATATAAGCGTCTTGTTCAGAAAGTACTGAGTTCTGAAGTAAATGATGTAGATGCTCCTCAACAACTGCTATCTCTTGCCAAAAAGTAAGTTCCTCGATTCAACTTACTAGATTTTTTTATGTCAATGCTGTCAGACAATTGCTCTTTGTGTTATGATGTTTATGAAACATGTATCCAGACAACGAGTGAGTTGTAAAATTCTGTGCATCCACACATGTACTTGGACTAACAGAGTAGTAAAAAAGCATCTGTTAGTTTTCACTCGAGTCTGTGTAATATGTAAAAGCAGTATATAATCCTTCTGATTGATTTTGCTAAAAGAAAATTAATATCTTTTAACAATTAAGGGAGTTAGATAATAGCGTAATGCTTAAATAGTTTGCTTTGATCCCCAATGTGTAGTTATTTCTCACTATTATCTATGTTGTGATTCAATGCTCCACTTTATTTACAATTATGGACTGTTGTTAATGAACAGGATTGGCGGTGTTACTATCTTAAGGAAAGGAAATTCTGATCTTGTAAGTGATGGTGACACAGGTAGTTCTTTCACCAATATAGGTCTTATTTTGTTCTTTATTTTGGAGGAGGGGGATCAAAGATTTTGCTTGAATAACAATATTCTGCAATGGCAACAAAGAAGTCTTTCATTTTAAATTAGTCTGTTTCGGTGCACGTGGTGGGTGTCTCCTATGGCTATATTAATTTAGCAGGTTTTGGAACTCAAAAATGTTCTATCCATGACCAGAAAATTTAGTCATGGTACAAACAACTCCAGTGGATAAATTGTATCCGCATAAAGAATATTAATAGAGATTTGCAAATGCTAAGAAGTCGTTTGTGATTGTGGTATTATTTTCATTTATGCAGTCAAATCAGTGAGCATATATGGTTCTCCTAGACGTTGCGGTGGCCAAGGTGATATCCTTTCTGGAAGGCAAGTCCTCTGTTCTTGTTTCAAAATTCTCGTGTGCTATATTATGTTTGGGTGGTTCTTCTCTGTGAGATGGAAATTTCTTTATTTTCTGTAGTTGATTTTTCTAGTGCCAAATTTGCTGATGAACTTTCAAGTAGAATATTGATTTCCTGTTTAAATGAATAAATCATATCCTCATCTTTTTGGCTGGAACACAACTATATCTAATACTTAAAAGTACTTCTGGAAGGAGATTATTTCGGTAATGCTGTTAATGCATTCTTCATTAGTTCTTCTGAGAATTGAAGTAAAGTTGATATCATTAATTGTGCAGTTGGAACATGAAGTTTTTTTTATGCTTATCTTAAGTGGTGCAGTGTGGCTGTCTTCTTATCATGGGCACGTCAACATATCTTGGCTGCTGATTCAAACTCGAATCTCAGTTGTAAAAATCCAACAGTTTTGGGATGCATTGCTGGGTCTGCTATATTGAGGAAGGCTGCATCACTTGCTTTTCTAAAGAAGAAAAGATCCACAGTCACTGGTGACATCATTGAATGCTTGGGACAAAGGTAGTGTATTATAGGACGAAATTGTTTGTGGGATTGTGACCAAATATTTTTTAAGCTTTTGCATTCTTTGTTGCAGTTTGGAAGACATTTCTCCTGCCAGTTAATTCACTCTAGATGCTCACCGTTGGCAACCAAGTTTACTTATCCTGCAATAATATTTTCTTTCTTTGTTGAGTTTTCTTCTTTCTTGTCTTTATTTCTCCCATTTTGGTCTGCTTTTTTTATTTTGAATATTTAAAACATGTCTGCCTGTTTTGCAATGATAGCCAAAGTGTGTGGAACAGAGTTTGGCTAAAACTTAACGTTAAACGTGCACAATGCATTTATTAAAGTTTACTACGTTTTTTGAGCTGCCAAACATTTATTGCACTTTTCAAGACACCAAACAGAAAAGCACCTACATTTTCATGCACTTGATAAAAAGTTGAAACTTAAGTTTTTAAGTTTGCAAAAGCGACCCAAACCCAAACTGTGTTTATGGACAAAGTTTTATTCTTTACTAAATTTTGCAGTGTTTTTATTTATTTTTTAAATTTGTTCATTTTTTACTGGAGAAATTATTTTTGTAAATTAATTAATTTAATGAATATTAAACAAAATTATTATTTATTTATTTTTATTTTTTTAATTTAAAACTATTGTTGCATTAAAATACTTTATAACTTTTATTGTGTGTAATTTTTTCGTAACACTGTATGAAAGCTTAGATACAAATTTTGTTTTAATTTGAATTGCACAAAAAAAGTAACTTAATAAAAACTAACAAATTGAGTCTCTGTAATATTAAAATGAGGTTTATTTCTGTAAAATTAAAAAATTAAAAATAATAAGAAAATATATTAAATGAGAAAAACTAATAAAAAGATTAAATAAATTAAAATTTACTGTAATTTATCGAGTACCAACATACTCCTTGTAATAATGTGTACTATAAAAATAATCATTGAATTCATTACCTAATTTATCACTCTCCAACTATGAATTGCATCTTCTACAGTAGTCTTTGAAGATTACATCAATATGATTTTCAAGGATAATAAATCAATATTACCAGCATGCATAGTTAATTTTAAAATAAAATAAGTATAATGTTTGATTAACACAAGTTCTAATAGTTTATATACACATATACATACATATATATAAATTAAGTAACACTGTTATATTATACAAAATTCAATCTATTAAATATTAAAACAAGTTCTAAAAGTAACACAAGTTATGAGATATGTACTTTTTAAAAGTATAATATTGAATCGTAGTAAGACAACTCTAGTCAATTCTAAAATTACATTAGGTCTAACGTTAAAATAATTGCCATAATTATTCTCGCAGAAAGACTACTAGTGATTTACGATAATACTTTATTTGAGTTTATATTTTACAGAATAATTTTAAAAAAATAAAGTAAAATAGAAATATTCGCATATATAACTTAATTTTTCTTTTAATAAATATTTAAAAAGTAATAAATGAATAATAGACAAAATCTTTCAGACAAAATGGATAGAGAATATTTATTACTATTAAAAGAATACTTAGATAAAATATTCTTTTTTATTCAAAAGGTAAAGTAAGAAAAAAAAATAAAGAAATATGGAAATTAATTAGGCATTTTTAGGAGAAAGAGAAATAAAAAAAGTGAGTCAGACTTATTTTTACTTCCTCCCAAATTGGTAGAAAGGAGTAATAATTATTTTAAACAACATAATCCCTCTTTAACACCTAATAATTAATCATCTTATTTTGTAATTTTCTACTTCTTTCTTATTTTTCATGAATCAAATACTCCTATTTTTACTTTCTTCATTGCCATATTCGTGTGTCCTGTTTTGTTCCGTTTTTAAAACGAAACCAAATATGGAATGGAACTTTAATATCACGTTGTGCCGCGTTCTCGCCTGCAGAAAACTCGAATCTCTTCACGTGCTAAAAAGTGTAGCAAAAGTGAAGGATACTAAGTCCAATTTGTATTGTTCAGTGGCAATGCTATGAAATTGATTTTTTGTAGTTTTGAAATTTTGAAATAGAATGGTCGAAGGAAATTTAGAAGCAGAGGAGTTTTTATTAGATTGACAAGCGTTACTGTACACTGATAGAACCAAGTGCTGATAAGAAAAATACTGATAGAACTAAGCTACTCCATTCATATGCCTCATTGCAGTGGTTATTTCTCCAAAGGAACCTCTATTGTCTGGCTGCAACAACTGCTGGCCCTTCCACCTGATGTATATATATCATTCAACCAGTTCATCAATGGAGATCAAAAGACACTAACACTGATCTAAAGAATAATGTATTTGTTTCATTTTGTTACCTTGAAGGTTGCACCCCAGATTTCCTCCTCCTTAGCAGGAACTGCAGTGATCTTATTCTTAGGATTTTCATAACACATCAATCCTCCAACAGCTGTGGAGTAGAAACATCCTGTCCAATCAGAGAGCAAGAGTTTGAGCAATGAGAGAAAATGTTTTATTCTTAACATATTGAGAACAAATTAATGGGAATGGTGATACAAGTTAAGCACCTTGAGGGAAAGAAGCAAGTGACTTGCCACAAGCACCTTTAAGCAATTCTGCATCATCAGCAAATGCTACATAGCCATCAGCAGTAATTCCCCAATACAGAGGTACCTTACCATATTGATCCTGCCAAAAATAATAAAATCAAAATGAGGAAGAAATGACAAGTTACAGTGTATGCTGTGGGAGTGTGATTACTGACAGAGGCCAAAAACAGGGTGGAAGTGGATTTGTCAAACAGTATGAACGCAAAGCTCCCACTGAGATGGCCAACAACGTGATTAACAGGGTAAGGTGCTCGGTCACGCAAAGCTTTGTAAGCCTCAATCACCAACAATACTTCATTGGCTGACTTCCCCAGTCCATACTGTTGTCTCAAGTGCCCCAAATTCTCAAGGACTCCCTCAAACAAGCAGAATACCTCATCCTTCACTGCAAAAGATCTGCATTTTCCACTCAATACTTAGTTAGACAAACCAAACTAACCTTTCTTCTTATTCGTATACATAAAAAGAAAAAAACTTTTAACTTTTCATTGCCCAATTCCTGCGACTAATCTCCGGTTTTGACTGCAAAAACCTATTAACCGTTTCGATAAGACATAGGTTTAGTTGGTACAGACAAAAAATATTCTGAACGATCGCAGAATGTTCAGATTTAGATTTACGTAGAAATAATCAGATCCGGTACGCTTGATTAAACTCGTTGGGCCATCATGGAACCATGGAGCCTATTGGGCCGTCCAATTGCCCCATGTAAAATCAGAACATATAAAATAATCAGATCCATTCAACTATACTTTCACTTATCACAGTCACAGACAATCACTTGGAATATTCTCTTCGGGGACGATAGAAGCAATAAACTACGTAGAGGTCTAAAAAATGGAATTTAAAGTCTCTAAATAAAATTTAAACCTATTCGTATATTATAGTTTCATTTTTCAAGCAATCATTCGATACATGATTATAAATGCTTTTAATAAAATTTGAAATCAATCTTACACATTATCATATTATAAAGAAATACGAAAATATATTTTTTCATTTTAAGGAATTAAAAATAAACAAATTCATACGGTATTAAAAAGAAACTTGAGTTTTGTAAGTTGAAATTAGCAATTACCTTTACCTATTTATTCAAATAAAACCATTTTAAAAATAAAAAATAAAAATAAAAAGTAAATCTGACAACTTCATAGTTCTTGCAACGTGTCGCAAGAACCAACCACGGTAACCAGTAACTACAGTTATTTCACTCACTAACTCGTCGTGTGTGAGTCACGACGATCAGATTTGGCACCATCAACCATACGATCATTTTACGAATTACCTTTTTTTTTCTAAAGTTTATAATTAATATTTTTGAAGTTGAATGATTAAGGAAGGAGCAGCGGTGGTTTATTTTACCTGGGTTGAAACGGCGACTCGTTGTGATGGGTATAAGCTAGGTGGACATGCTCTCCGATCTCCACCGACACTGTGGAAGCGTTTTTCTCCTGGAACCGCTTCCTCAGCGCCGCCGCCGTCGTCTTCGGCGACGGGGTTCGGCTGCCGGCGGCCACGAGCTCGTCCGGCGGCGAAACGATGGAGCTGCTGAACACACCCAACATTTTACACCCCTAAACTGTTTATTTTCCTTTTCTACGCATTCACCAGAATCTTCTTACAGAATGGGATGGGAAGAAGGAGCGCGTGTTCATTGGTTTTATAGAGGGAGCCGGAAGGGTAGTTTAGTCATTTAATTTTAAGAGTATCTAATAATGATGCTAATTGATGAGTTTAGACAGGTGACACGTGGGACCCAAATCGGCGTTACTGCAATCCGACAACATCAGCGAATGGATCCCGCAGCCTGATTCAATGCGACTTTCATCCTACGACTCATATTGCTGCCACGTCCTCCCCTAACCTTTCATGATATAACAGTTCAACCCATTTCGTCGTGCTAATTTTGGAAAATTATAAACATACACGTTTTTAATCTTTTTTTACACCTATTTAATATTTAAAAAATATTAACATTTTTAATTTTTCTATTTCATTCATCTGCAAATATTTCATATTTTAAAACAAAAATGTTGTTTTGTGGTGTTGAATAAGTATGCAGTTAAAAACATGATGTTCATTTCTTATCACCCTTAACTTTAACATTTTAATTCAGTCTTCTTTTTCTAAATTAGATAATATAAACATATTTAAGTACGTATTTAATTAACTTCAAATGAGATAGTCAATAAAAAACTTTAAGAGTACGTATAAATGCTATTAATTGATGCACTTAAGCTTTAGAAATTTATTAAATAATGAATTTAGTTTCAAGGTAAAATTAACATTATCTCTCCTCATATTACCAAATCTTTGATTAATATATATATATATATATATATATATATATATATATATATATATATATATATATATATATATATATATATATATATATATATATATATATATATATATATATATATATATATATATATATATATATATTAATCAAAGATTTGGAAAATTGAAGAGTTTAATTTTAAAAATTTAAACTACCTATAAGGATGATTTAAAAATTTTAATTACAAATAATAATAATAATAATAATTAAATTAATCACGTGTATTAATAAAAATTAGAAAAACACATACGTTTGATAATAAAAATTAATAAAATACTAATTATTATAGTTATTATTATAGTTAATAACTATAATAACCCTGTATATTTTTTTATGTTTTGCTGTTCTTTTGTAATAATATTTCATAGATGATGAGATAAATGATTGATTGTTTTTTTGTGGAAGGGAAGAATTCAGGAAAATAATTTTATAGTTTTATGTGTATATATTATATTACTATAATTATTACCCTGAATAACTATATTAATATCGTATATTTTTTAAATTATTTGTTTTTAATTTTATAATATTTTATTTAATAGTTTTATACTATTAAACAAAATGTTACAATAATTATGACAAAAATTAATATCAAACTCCAATCAACAAAATCCTTCTTAAAAAAAGCACAAAATGTTTAATAAGTATGACCTCTAAATATATTATAACTCATTAAAAATCAACATAAAGGAAATGTTGGGATAGTTTATAAGCTTCTTATTAAAAATATGACACAAACTTTAGAAAAATAATATACATTAAATGAATAAATTGTACACTTTTAAATTTTCTGATAAATTATGGGAAATAAGTCCGATTCAATTTTTGTTAGTAATGTATTTTATAAAGACAGACTAATAGTATGCATAAAAGAAATCAATAGAGAAAATATATCAAATTAATAATTGTTATTATTTTCTGCTTAATGTGAAACAAATTTATTATGATAAAGGTTGATGTAAACTTAGAATTTAATGAAACTGTAGTCTCATTATTATAGTTATAAAAAATAAAATTGTAGTACCTAGAGAGAATGGTAGTAGATGTAACAAATAGATGTATTTGGAGAGAATAAAAGAGATGAATTAATTTAGGTTTTGTGAGCATATAATAGTTTTCATATATTCTCCTTGGGTTTTACAATAAATGAATAAAATAATGAAAGTCTTTATAGGAATTAAAATAGGCTTAATTACCTACTTAGTCCTCATGTTAGGAGGTAATTTTTTGTTTAGTACCCAGTTTTAAAAATGTATACATTTGGTACCTATGTTTTGAAATTTGTATCAATTCAATCCTATCCAGTTAACGGCGTTATAATTGATGCGAGAAATTAAGGACGTTAAAAATGTTTAGTATCTACATTTTTAAAACCGTGTACTAAACAGAAAATTACCTCCTAACATGGGACTAAGTAGGTAATTAAGCCATTAAAATACTTACTGAAACATACTTTTGATTGGTTGGTCGACGATGATGTTCGTGTCAGTGTCTCCTCAAAATATGTAACTTGATACTATTATAATAGTCCGATTCTTCTCTGGTCTTGAAAAAATTAAGAGAAACTGAGTTTTAAAATGATATAAAACTTCAATAAAATAACAAACAGAAATATATTCACTATATATAGCCTTTCTATTTTATGTCTGTTTAAATTTTGTTTTTAAATAAAATTTGTCTTACAATTATTAAACTCAAATTAAATTTTAATATTTTATTATTATATGTACGTAGGAAAAAATAAGACTGCTTAGAATTATTATGATGAAAACCATGGGTGATGTTTGATTAACATTAATCTAATCATATAATATTTTAACACTTATTGATGGGACAACGACAAATAGTTTAAAATAAAATTTTACTTTTGATTTTAAATAAGAAATAAAAAATACTTTTGAACAAAAGTAATACAGGTTTACAATTGAAATTAATTTAAATATATATTTAATCACCTATAATTGTTTAAAGATGACTTTTCTTTTTGAATTATAGAAATAGATCTATTTAATTGGAGAATCTGAATGACGTAGTTGAGTGAAGGTTGAAAAAGTAGAATAATAGTTGGAATAAAAAAAAGTAAGAAAGTGACGTGGAGGTTGTTCTTTGTGGATAAACACGCCTTGTTTTCTGTTCCTTTAATAATCTAACTAACCCCACGCCCACCGTTTTATCACACGCCCACGGATTTTTAATCTTCTCCAATTTAATTCTTCAATATTTCTTTAACTTATAACCACTAAAATTAAATAAGGATTAAAATAAATAAAAAGTCATTTTTTTATAAAATGTAAATTAGAAAATATTTTTTCTTTAAAGATCTTCATATGTTGGGAGGAACAAAATCATTAATTTTTGCACAATTATTTATAAAATGTTTAACTATTATGAATCAAGTCTAAGTTAATGTAAATCAATTTTAGTGTAAAATCTCATTATGTTTTTGTAAATAACTATTAAGAAAAATACATTACCTGTTTTATAAACATTTATTTCAAACTTTAAAGAAACTTAACATTGATGTTAATTTTAGAGAAATTTTTTCAGTCATTTAAATTTGTATTTGTCTAATTATTTCAGAAGAATAAAATAAACATTATAAACTTTGTTACGCTTTTATAGATTTAACTAAAGGCAGCTACATAATTTAGGACTAGATGTAGTGATAATTAATATGCTTTAGAATGAAGTGTATTTGTTTATAATTTCATCCCTTTTACTGGAATTTTCTTTTTCGATTTGTTTTCTTATTTATAAATTTTCAATTTGAAATCTTATTAACTTTTAATACGATATTTGAAAATCCATTTCAAATTGGAATACATTAAACTGCAATTAAAAGTCTCGTATTTTTCTAGAAGTTATAATAAAACTAAATTTTATTAATTTCCTAATGCATAGTATAGCAGTGTCCATAAAGCATACAAATTGAGAGAGCAAACACAGGAGTGTGGTGGTTGGTGTGGGCCCGATTCAACTGCGCATAGCAAATTTGCGACAATGACCAAATATTACTCTGCTTTTCATTATTACCCACACACATTATCGCAGCCACGTGTATTCATTAATAGCCCTTGTTTTCAAAACCACGTCTCAATTTCTCACTGTAAAATCAAACAAAAAACATCTCTTGGATGGCACAACAACATACATAATTTCCACCGCGGGAACGTCTTCACGTGCCACTAATTTCAAAATAATCATCGTATAATATATTATTTGTTTTATTAGTTTTTGTTATTGTGAGCCTAAATCCGATCGGGTACCATAGTCGGCTGGTTTGAAAGAACCGAGTCGTAGACGTAGAGAAAAGAATTTCACCGATCATTCTCTTTTCGGGGTGAAAGAGGATATCTCGATCGGGGAGAAAACGGATAAATCTCATATAACCTATTATATCTGATAAGTCGTACTATATATCAATTCAAACTGTATCTTTATTTTCGGGGAGTCGAAAGGGTATTCTTGGAACACTAATGGACATAAAATGGACAAATAATAAAGTCATATATCTCACTTTAGTGTGGAAACGTAAGAATTAGCTTATCGTGTTAAAAATGATTGACTTTATTTTAGATTAATATTGCTTTTTTTTTTAGAAAAAAGAATACTAAAAAAAGTCAAGTTGTTACAAATGGGTCATTGGGGTGATAAGCGAATATGTCTGCATTTACTTATTTAAATAGTCATAGAGAAAGTTGTCAACCCCTCTCGTCTCCCCACCATTGCTAATTGTTACTTATCCGGTATAGAATAAATTTGTTTCTTTGATTTCTACAAATATGATTGTTCTATTCTTCAACAAAAAATAGACACTATGTAACTTTATTGCACTGAAAAAAAAATGAATATACCGTTTGGATAATATGAGTAAAGTTAAAACACAATAAATATTACAATGACTATTAATGAATGGTTAAGATTTATATTAATGATCATTAAGAAATAAAGATTTTTATAAACTTTATAAATAGAGGTTTAATTTCGAAATAAACTCATTTTTGACTCATCATTAAATTACTTAAGACCTTCAGAGAAAAGTGACTTGAGCATCAAAGAATCTTCTACAGGTCATTCCCAACCTATCGGTTATCGAAACAAGGAGTTGAGTGAACGTTCAACGGAGACAGAAACAACACACAGACGATATTTCGTCTCAATTAAGCAGTATCTCATCTCAATTAAGCAGAAACAGTTTTATTTTTAAAAAATATCTACAATAGAGCATTTCAAATTATGGTGAGGCTAATCTAGATAGTTAGTGCCTATATTTAAATTATGGAACACTTAATTCACGTCCACACAGAAGCTAAGGTTATGCGTTCTTCTTCAAATGTCGCAATGATGTACATTAGACCTCCACTTTAATATTGCTTTGAAAATCAACATGCTTGCATCACAGGAAAAAAAAATAATATATACGAAAACTGCATCCACGGACATTGATGTCGACACAACAAATACTTTAAATTTTTATAAAATGACATGAGAGGAGATATCCTGTGGACAACGAATTGTAGTACCCATTGAAAATAATATTTAAAATAATTTAAATGTGAGTTAAAGTCTTACATTAAATACAAACAATTAAAGTTAAATATTATATAAAATAGAAATTTTATAAATTTATTTTTGTAATAATTTAAGTTAAATATATGTTAATTTTTTATATAAATTGTAGATGAGTGGAGGGGACCAAAATTATGATTTATCGCCGTCCTTCCAGGGTGTATGGAAGAAAATCTCTGGCATGTCGTTGGTTTCGATCACTCTTCATTCTTCTTTTTTTTATTTTTGCACTTTTATTTTTCTTATATTTTCTTCTCCATGCACAAGTAAACATCGACTTTTAGATAGTGTATTTATCATGGAAGACAATATTCTTTCATTTTCAAATTAAAAATATCTATAGTTTTATATATGAAAAAAAATAAGTGTTTATACCTAACGAAAGATACGCAAAGAGTTGTCTTAACAAAGTTTTATAATTAAGAATTAAATTAAGTTTTGCTTAAAGCGATTGAAAATTAAATCGTAATCAACGTAGTCAAGATTGTTGAACCGCACATGGTGCAAGAATTTATATAATTACGAAGACAACGTCAAATGTCACTTACCTAAACATGCTCATTTATTGGAAGATAGCTTCAAATTGAGATGACAACGATATCATTCATGAAAAAGTTAGGCCAAACATTGATGTTTAACTAAGAAATCAAGTTACATGTTTGGCTTTTGTGATTCTTAAATCAGATTAATACAACAAAATATTAAATAATTAGACAAGTTGGTTGAAAATTAGTGAAACCTAATTTAATACTCATTATAGAAATGTCTATCGTCAAACTTAAAAAATGTCACAATAGTTTATCAGAAACAAACACTAGAACGCATATTACTTATTGATGTTTTTATCAACCTAATAAACTTAAAAAATTATAACATATTTAAAGTTAATTGCTACATATTTAAAGTTGGTTTGAAATGATGTTGAGTGTGATGCGTGGGATATACATGAATATGTGCCAGAAAAGATAAGAAGGGTAGCTAAAGACTGTTTTAAAAGCAAAAACGTAAATGAAGAAGGGAATCGAAAACTCGAGAGGAAAGGGTAATTTGAGTCACGGGTTTGGATTATTTGAAGGGTCCATGCTACATCAAATTTTGAATTATTTAAATACTCAATCCTTCGTTTAAAACGTTTTTTCAAAAAAAAAAAAAATTCAAAGTTTAAAACATACAACATATTAAATATAATTTTTTATTCTAATAATGTTATTTCAATGAATTTGAAATTGAAACATAAAATAAATATGATTAAAATATTTGAAAAACAAATATATAATTTTTAAAAAAGTTGCTAAATTAGATATGTGGGATTTAAGAATTTGCATTTCAATTCGACGGTTGCTTCCTTGAGAGTTTAAAATTTTAATTCAACATACCTTATAAATTGTATAAAAATTTCCCATATAGGTTTTCTAACGTATTTATGTAATTTGGATCGAAATTTAAACCCAACCACGATTTAAAGAATATAAAGATACCATCCTATACAAAAAAAGTTCATTTAAAATTGGAAGAAATAAATCTCTTATAAGTAAAAAAAAAAAAAAAACATTACCATATAATAACTAGATTACTCATTTCTCCCCATAAAAAGCAATTCCAAAAAATGAATAGTATCATGAGTGCATTGAACAATTTGGGTCTGGGACATATGTTCGTTATAGATCAACCCTGCCAATTTTTTTTTGACAAAATAATCTCATTCGATCTCAAATATAAAACTAAAGCGGCTTTTGTTCTTGCACCCCCAAAATTTCTAATCGCATTCCCATACTTTTTAAAATGACCCGTGTTTCAGATTACTTGTTATGAAAGTCTTATAGAATAAGCTCTCAATAATTTTTTAAACATGTATTTTAAAATTGGATTTTGAGAACATAAATTCTGGAAAAATAATTCTAAAATAGGATTTTGAAATAAGTTTTTCAAAGCATATAAAATATATTTTGGAAAAAGCATTCTAGAATAAAATTATCGGAACAAGCTTAGTTCAGTGATGTTTTGAGACGTAGGAAGGGTTGGAGAAAGATGTCTCAGTCTCATGAAAAAACTCTGATACTGATCCAAAAAATGGTGAAAGTGCCTCCACCAAAAGCACTTTTGTTGTTCAATTCCTCAACCTATGAGGGCCTTCATCACACTCCTCACTCTATCTCTTTCATCTTAAACCATCTCCTATCCCATGACATGCTACCCCAAGCTCAATCTCTTATCTTGCGTCTAATCTCTGGTCGAATCCCCTTCTACACATTCTCTCCCTCCTCCTTAATACCTCAACTAACACAAGCCCATTTCACCTCTTCTTCAACTTATGCTCCTCTCTATGAAACAATTGTCAATGCTTATGTTCATTCTCACTCCCCTGATCAGGCCCTCACTTTTCTACACCAGATGATTCACAAGGGTCATCTTCCTACATCAAACACCTTCAACAATCTTCTGTGCTCGCTCGTTAGGTCAAACTGTTTCGATAAAGCTTGGTGGGTTTTTAACCAATTCAAGATTAAAGTTGTTATGGATGTCTACACATTTGGGATTATGATCAAAGGTTGTTGTGAGGTTGGTGACTTAATGAAAGGGTTTCGGCTTGTGACCATGTTGGAGGAGTTTGGTTTGTCTCCTAATGTTGTTATATACACTACGTTGATTGATGGGTGCTGCAAGAATGGAGATGTCATGCTGGCGAAGAAGTTGTTTTGCAAGATGGATAGGTTGGGTGTAGTTGCTAATCAACATACTTATAGTGTCTTAATGAACGGGTTTTTCAAACAAGGACTTCAAAGGGAAGGGTTTCAGATGTATGAGAATATGAAGCAAAGTGGAATAGTGCCAAATGTTTATTCCTACAGCTGTGTGATTGGAGAATATTGTAATGGTGGGATGGTGGATAAAGCTTTTAAGGTGTTTGGTGAAATGCGTGAGAAAGGTGTTATGTGTGGGGTTATGACATATAACATTTTAATAGGTGGGCTGTGTCGAGGGAAGAAGTTCGGTGAAGCAATAAAGTTAGTTCATCGATTGAGCAAAGTTGGCCTCAGTCCTAACATTGTTACATACAATATACTGATCAACGGTTTTTGTGGTGTTGGAAAAATAGACACTGCTGTTAGATTATTCAGTCAATTGAAGTCAAATGGACTTTCACCAACTTTAGTAACCTATAATACTCTGATTGCAGGGTATTGTAAGGTTGAGAATTTAACTGGAGCTCTTAGCTTGGTCAAGGAAATGGAAGAGAGATGTTTTGCTCCTTCCAAAGTGACATATACGATTCTGATTGATGCTTTTGCAAGACTAAATCATATGGAAAAAGCACGCAAAATGCATGCTTTAATGGAGAAGTCTGGTTTGGTTCCAGACGTACACACATACAGTGTCTTAATACATGGGTTATGTAAAACTGGTAACATGAAAGAAGCCTCAAAACTATTCAAATCATTGGGGGAGCTGCATTTCGAACCAAACAATGTTATATTTAACATGATGATTCATGGTTACTGCAAAGAAGGAAGCTCTTACAGGGCTTTTAGGCTACTCAATGAAATGGTTCACAATGGAATGGTCCCCAATGTGGCCAGTTTTTGCTCAACCATAGGGCTTCTTTGCAATGATGGAAAGTGGAAGGAAGCAGAGTTTCTCTTAGAAAAGATGATAAATTCAGGACTAAAGCCAACGGTTTCTTTATACAATATGGTTTACAAAGAAAAGATCAACGTTTAGAATGCCGAACATGGTTTAGATCGTCAGGGCCTGTCCCCGAAGGCCACTACTTTAACTGGGTTAGTAATGACATAGTGCTGTGTACTCTTTTATAGCAGGCTAAACTTTCTACATCCCGCAAATGTATTCATTCATCTTGGAATGCATCTTTTACATTTAAAAGAAGTTCATTTCAAAATAACTGAAAATACTCAAAAAATTGATAGAGCTCTGGAAAAAACACCCTTTATAGCATGTCAGCCATATGTTCTACACCACAATTGGCCTAGGAACTCCCCAAAACAACACGGATCTAGCCATTGATCTTGGAGGAGAGAACCTCTGGCACGACTGCAGCACAAAATGCTATAATTCTTCCTCCAACCGTAAAGTTGTTTGTGAGTCAAAGAAATGCCCCAAAAACGCTTCATCCATTGCCACTGGCTGCATTGACACTTATAAACCAGGTTGTGCAATCAACGATTTTGTTATGACAATGAGCAACTCATAGTGAAATGTTGTATTCTTTACTGTTTTTAGTGTTTGGATTTGTTTTTAGATTTCTCTTAGCATTTCAAATTTGCTTAGATAGTTGTTTTTCCTTTTTAGTTTACTAAT